CAGAGTAGTAAAATTCACAGAAACAAAAAGTAGATGGGGTACTTGGCTGGCTCAGTCAGTAAAGCATGTAACTTTTTTTTTAAGATTTTATTTATTTATTTGAGCCAGAGCGGGAGAATGAGCTGAAGGCAGATGCTTAACCAACTGAGCCACCCAGGTGCCCCAAAGCATGCGACTCTCAATCTCAGGGTCATGAGTTCAAGCCCCACGTTGGGTGTGGAGCCTACTTAAAAGGAAAATAAAGTAGGGGCATCTGGGTGGCTCAGTCATTAAGCATCTGCCTTCGGCTCAGGTCATGATCCCAGGGTCCTGGGATCGAGCCCTGCATCGGGCTCCCTGCTCGGCGAGAAGCCTGCTTCTCCATCTCCCACTCCTCCTGCTTGTGCTCCCTCTCTCGCTGTCTCTCTCTCTCTGTCAAATAAAAAAATAAAATCTTTTTTTAAAAAAAAAGGAAAATAAAGTAGAATTATGGTTGCCAGAGGTTGTGGGAGAGGGGATATAGGGAGTTGTTTAATGGGGAGAGAGTTTCAGTTTTGCAAAATGAAAAAGTTCTAGAGATTGGCCGCATGACAATGTGAATATAGTTAACACTGTTGAACTGTACACTTAAAAATGGTTAAGGGCACCTGGGTAGCTCAGTCGGTTAAGCATCTGACTCTTGATTTGGGCTCAGGTCATGGTCTTGGGGTCATGGGATCAAGCCCAGCATCAGGCTCCACGCTCAGTGGGCAGTATGCTTCTCTCTCTCTCCCCACCTCTCCCTCTGTGCTACCCCGCCCCTGCTTGGGCTCTCTCTCTCTCTCTAGAATAAATAAATAAATCTTTTTTAAAAAATGGTTAAGGGCACCTGGGTGGCTCAGTTGGTTAAGTGACTGCCTTCGGCTCAGGTCATGATCCTGGAGTCCCGGGATCGAGTCTCACATCGGGCTCCCTGCTCGGCAGGGAGTCTGCTTCTCCCTCTGACCCTCTTCCCTCTTGTGCTCTCTATCTCTCATTCTCTCTCTCTCAAATAAATGGATAAAATCTTTTTAAAAAATTAAAAATTAAAAATTAAAAAATGGTTAAGATGTGGGGCACCAGGAAAGAGCATGCAACTCTTGATCTCTGGGTCATGAGTTCAGGCCCTGCACTGGGAGTAGAGATTACTAAAATAAATAAATAAGTAAACTCAAAAAATGGTTAAGATGGTACATTTTATGTGTATTTTACCGTAATCAAAAATAAAATTAAAATTTTAATGCAAAAAATGTAGTAACTATAATTGTTTCATAATTTCATATTTTTGCAGTTCTGTTTCTTCTGTTATTTCTGCTGGTTCTCATTTGCAATGCCTTGTTCCTTGTGTGCTAGGTTCTTCTTTACTGTGTAGTAGTCATTGTCCCTGAAGATGTACTGATGGAGATTCTTTGAGGACCAGCACAAAGATGCATTCCTCCAGAGAAGATTTGAGTTTGTTTCTGCCAGGAACTTAGAGATAATTCCAGTTCAGGACTACTTTAAACTAGATTTGTAACTTAAAGGGTTTTTTTTTTTAGATTTTATTTATTTATTTATTTAAGAGAGAGAGAGAGAGAGAGAGAGAGAGCGCAAGTGGCAGAGGGTGAGGGAAAGGAACAAGCAGACTCTGTGGTGAGCAGGGAGTCCCACAGGGGGCTGGATCCCACGACCCTGAGCAGAAACCAAGAGTCAGACCCTTAACCAACAGAGCCACCCAGGTGCCCCTTATAAGCTTTTTTGAATACTTCATATAATTTGGGCTACAAATCGACAAAAAGTCTAGCTACGGTTACAAAGTCCCGAGGAGAGTTTCTCCCCTTATGTTCAGCGTCGTACTAAGTTCTCTTTCCTGGAGTCTCTTAAGAGAAAGATGTGGGTCAGGTTTACTTCTGATTCACCTTTAATGACAGCCCTTTGGGGAGCCATAACTAATAAAAGGAAGGCTTTTTTTTTAAGATTTTATTTATTTATTTGACGAAGAGACACAGAGAGAGAGGGAACACAAGCAGGGGGAGTGGGAGAGGGAGAAGCAGGCTTCCCGCTGAGCAGGGAGCCCGATGTGGGGCTCGATCCCAGGACCCGGGGACCATGACCTGAGCCGAAGGCAGACCCTTAACGACTGAGCCACCCAGGCGCCCACAAGGAAAGCTTTCTAATAGATTCCCCACCTTGGTAAACCCTGAGCTTTGACTTCATTCACCCTTAACCTACAGAGTTTGCTCAGATTGGTAAATATCCTCAGCGCAAAATTGCCTCCCATGCTTGCTTACCTCTCCCCATTTCTGAACTCCTCGAGACTGGCTTCCTACCTCGTACTTTGCCAGCTCTTCTGTGCTTTTAAGAATATTTAAAAACTATTTTATCCAGCATTTTTAGTTGTTTTAAGCAGCAGGTTGACCCCAGTAACCCAATCAGAAATCCTCTACTTTCCTTTTCAATGATTTCTGCCCTTCTATTTATTTTTTTCTCCTATTTTTTGTTGTTCTTATTGTTGTGTTGGTTTTTTTCCTTAAATGTTTTAGCTGAACACACAGCTCATTATTGCTTTTTCTTTTCTATTATTAGGCTATTCCATCCTTGAGGCTGTAAATTTCCCTTCAAGTACACCTTTCTTTGTATTCTTTAAGTTTTGATATGTAGTGTAGGAGCGATTGCTGAAAGCCTATTGGTGCCCACCTGTTTTCATCAACTCCTCACACCAGCCAGGCTATTGTACTGCTGATTTTTCTCCTGAGACACCTGCCCTCAAGGTCTGGCAAGTGCGGCCAATTTCCCCCCTTCAGGGGCAGGAATGGTTGCCTAAGGCAATGCCGGGAAAGATAAGAGCATAATTAAATTACCTTTTCTACTCCGGGTTTTCCAAGAGGGGCTACGTATGGAAATCACTAGAAAGTTTTGAAAAATACCGATCTCTAGGTCGAACTGAGAGAATGCTCTCATTGGTCGGGGGTGGAGCCTGAGCATGGGTACTTGCAGTGATTCGAGTTCGAAGCCAGGGCTGGGAACCACTTCTCTCATTTATCTGCTCCTGGCCACCAGCCCCAGACTGCATCCTCCCTCCTCCCCACTCCCACTCCCAGGTGATTTTAGAGTCTAATGTCTTCCCAAAGCTGTTATTTCCTGGTTTCCATATCTCTCTCTATTGGTTTCCCAGGGTGGATCTTGGTGCAGGGAGCAGAAACCCTGATCATTTACCACATTGGCAGGAACCAGGATTGTCCTGCATCCTGTTTGTCTTCACAGGAGGTCTCTAGCATGAGACAGCAGCACTGGTTTGGGATGACTGCCAGGATGGGCACCGTGTTATCAGGGGTCTTCACCATCATGGCCACCAACATGTACCTCATCTTCGAACAGAAGTACATAAAGAGCAACGACTGCATTGAGAATTACGTACAGACCAAGAGCGCAGGTGTCCTGGTAAAGCAGTTCATCATCTGCTGGACTTCCAATGTTGTCTTCTTCCTGTCTTTCATTACCATCATCATCAGCTGCTTCCTCCTATACTCGGTATATGCCCAAATATACCGGGGCTTGGTGATCTACATCATCTGGATCATTTTCTATGAAATTGTAAACATTGTAGTTCAAATCCTTACCAACAATGACTCTGTCATTGAAGAGGTCAGGGTCGTGCGCTGGTTTGGCTTGCTGTCCCGTATATTCATGCACTGTTTCTGGATGTTCTATATCATCTCCTATGCCCACATAATCTATAAAAGTCAAACCCAGGGCAATATAATCTCCTACAACAGACGTATTTCTACAGGCAATGGAGAGTTCCCACGAAGGAAATCAAAGATCATCAACTTTACCCGCCACTATAGTGGATAATGTTTACCCTTGTCTCTCCCCTTCACAGGCAAAAATCCCAGGTTCTGATGGTAGTTGTAGCTCCATCTCTTTCACTTTTGCTGATCTGTTCGGCTATAGAGCCCCTACTGCCACCTTTTGGGAGGGAACGTGGAGAGAAATGACATTATAATCACAACTGGGACCACCTGCTCACTGAAGGCGTTTGGTAAAAGGACAATGGTTCTATTTCAAGCGCTCCTTGAGTTCCTCCTTCCTTTGTCAATCAGCACCACCTTAGAGGTCAACATAAAGACAGCAAGGGAATGAAACGAAGCTGACTTGCAGCAATCCTTTCACCTTGGTGCTTGTCTTCACATCAGCTTTCCACCCACAGCTCTCTAATTCAACCCTGGGACAGGCAGATCTGTATCTATAGCTCAGGTAGCTATGGTATGAGGGGTACAGGTGGTGCCTTGGGGTAGGTTTGTGCCATGGTCTTTCTCCCTCTGTCCTCTATGCTATATTCCAGATAAGTAGAAGAATAAAAAAATAGAGAAAATCATCCTTCATTTTCTGTCTTGAGTTCCCCCTCCCCCAGATTTGTCAGAGAGCGCAAAATGCACTTGGTTCACCAAAAGGTATGTGTTAAACTTTTCTATGTCTGTCACTATGCTAGACTTCATGGGAGGATACAAAAAAGTACAAGGTACAAGGTCTGACCTTGAGGATTTTGCAGTTTAGTGGAAGAAACGAAATCACTGTTGATGACTTAATAAGCCAGTCATATAAGACAGCACAAGACCACACATTACCATAGATCAACAAACATCACTTTGCATTCAGTTTCAGAAACTGTCAGAAGAAGTTTGAGCCAGGATGGAAGACAAATTGAGCAAATTTCTACTTCAAACATTAGGCATATCTTTTTGAGATTTTATCCACTTATGTGTGTGTGAGAGAGAGAGAGAGAGAGAGAGAGAGAGCAAGCACAAGGGGGGCAGAGTGGGAGGGAGAAGCAGGGTCCCCGCTGAGCAGGGAGCCTGATGCGGGGCTCAATCCCAGGACCCTGAGACCATGACCCGACGCTCTACCGACTGAGCCACCCAGGCGCCCCATTAGGCATTATGTTAAGTGTTTCTTTATTTAATAGCTTTTTTGAGGTATAATTAACATATAGTAAATTGCATATGTTTAAAATATATAATTTGATAAGTTTTGATGTAAGTATATCCCAGTAAAATCATCACAACTGAATTCCTAAACATATCTCCCCCAAAAGTTTCCTCTTAATACCTGCCCCCTCCCCTTCTTGCACACCCCCCCCACCATCTCAAGGGCACTGATTTGCTGTCATTATATATTAGTTTGCATTTTCTAGAATTTTACAAAGATGGAATCATATAGTATGCACTCTTTTTTGGTCTGGATTCTTTCACTCAGACTAATACCTTTAAGATTCATCCATGTTGTGGGGTCAGTACATGGCTCAGTCTGTTAAGCATCTGACTCTTGATTTCGGCTCAGGTCATGATCTCAGGGTCATAGGATCAAGCCTCCCTCGCCTGTCAGCCTCCGTGTGCTCAGCACGGAGTCTGCTTTTACCTCTCTCTCTGCTCCTTCCCCGGCTCACACACACGTGCCCTCTCTCTCTCTAAAATAAATAAATAAAATCTTAAAAAAAAAAAAAAAGATTCAGGGACGCCTGGGTGGCTCAGTTGGTGAAGCGTCTGCCTTTGGCTCAGGTCATGATCCCGGGGTTCTGGGATTGGGCCCCACGTCGGGCTCTCTGCTCAGTGGGGAGCCTGCTTCTCCCTCTCCCTGCCGGTCCCCATGCTTGTGCTCTCTGTCAAATATATAAATTAAATCTTAAAAAAAAAAAAGCCTTTAAAAAATAAAAAATAAATAAACCAAACATGAACATTCCTGGAATAAACTCTACTTGGTCATGCTGTATAATCTTTTTTATGTATTGTGGAATTAGATTTGTTCAATTTTGTTTAGAATTTTTGAATCTGTGTTCATAGGGGATATTTGTCTGTAGTTTTCTTATGTCTTCATCAGATTCTGGTATCAGAGTAATGCTTACTTCTTAGAAAGGAGTATTTCTTCCTTTTCAATTTTCTTTAAGAGTTTATGTACAATTGATATTTATTTCTTCCTTAAATGCTTGGTGGGATTCAGCAGTGAAGTCATCTGGACCTGGAATTTTCTTTGTGGGAGGTATTAAACTACAAATTCAATTAAAAAAAAAAGATATAAGGATTACTGGGGTTATCTATTTCTTCTTGAGTAAGCTTTAGAAGTTTGCGTCTTTCTTTTTTTTTAAGATTATATTTATTTGACAGAGAGAGAGCACCAGTCAGGGGAGGGGCAGAGGGAGAAGCAGACTCCCCGCTGAGCAGGGAGGGCAACACGGGGCTCCATCCCAGGACCCTGGGATCACGACCTGAGCCAAAGGCAGACGCTTAATTGACTGAGTCACCCAGGTGCCCCTAGTTTGTGTCTTTTAATTTGCCCGTTTTGTCTAAGTTGTCAAGTTTATTGCCATAAAGCTGTTCATAATATTCCCTATTATCCTTTTAACATCTGTGGAATATGCAGTGAAGTCACTGCTCTCATTCCTGATATTGTTAATTTTTTTCTCTTTTTCTTTTTCTGATCAGCCTGACTAGAGGTTTTAAGTTTTTAATGACACCAGCTTTTGGTTTCATTGATTTTTATCTCTTCCTTATGTCTTATGTCTCATTGATTTCCACTGTGATCTTTATTCTTTTCCTTCTTCTACTTAGTTTGAATTTAATTTTTTCTTCTTTTTATACTTTTCTTAAAGTAGAAGCTGAGGTCATTAATTGAAGACCTTACTTATTTTCTAAGACAGGCACTTGGTACTATAAAATTTCCCCCAAGTGCTACCTTAATGGCTTCACACAAATTTTTTTTTTTAAAGATTTTATTTATTTATTTGAGAGAGAGAGAATGAGAGATAGAGAGCACGAGAGGGAAGAGGGTCAGAGGGAGAAGCAGACTCCCTGCCGAGCAGGGAGCCCGATGCGGGACTCGATCCCGGGACTCCAGGATCATGACCTGAGCCGAAGGCAGTTGCTTAACCAACTGAGCCACCCAGGCGCCCTTCACACAAATTTTTTATGCTGTATTTCATTTTTAGTCAGTTAAAAATATTTTCTAGTTTCCTTTTGATTTTTTTCTTTGATCTATGGGTTATTTATAAATGTGCTACTTTGTTTCAATATTTGAGGATTTTCCAGAAAGTTTTCTGTTAATTATTTCTAACTTAATTTCAGTATAAGAGAACATACATTTATGATTTGAATAATTTTAAATTTATTGAAAATAGTTTTATGGCCCAGAATATGTTCTATCTTGATAAATGTTCCATGTGCTCCTGGAAAGAATATTTATTCTGCTATTGTCGGGTGCAATGTTCTCCAAATGTCAATTAGATCAAGTTGGTTGATAATATTGTTCAAATCTTTTAATATCTTTTCTAACTTTCTGTCTACTTGTTCTATTAATTACTGAAAGAGATGTATTGAAATCTCTGATTATAATTATGGATTTGTCTAATTCTCTTTATAATTCTATCAGTTTTTGCCTCATATATTTTGAAGCTCTATTAGTGGTATATAAATGTTTAGAATTGTTATATCCTTCTGATGAATCGACCCTTTTATCATTATGAAATGACCTTCTTTATCGCTGAGATTATTCTTTGCCCTGAAATTTTCTTTATTTGATATTAAAGCAGCCACTCCAGTATTCTTTTGATTTGTATTGACATAGTATATCTTTTCCCACCTCTTTTTTTTTTCAGCCAGTTTATGTCTTTATATATAAAGTATGCTAACTATAGGCAGTATGTAGTTGGGTATTTCTTTTTATTTATTTATTTTTTTAGCTTTTTTTAAAGTAAACTCTAATTGCAACATGGCCTCGAACTCACAGCCCTGCAATCAAGAGTTGCATACTCAGGGTGCCTTTGTGGCTCAGTCCATCAAGCATCTGGCTTGGGCTCAGGTCATCATCCCAGGCTCCTGGGATTGAGCCCTGCATTGGGCTCCTTGCTCAGCGGGGAGCCTGCTTCTCCCTCTCCCTCTGCCTGCTGCTCTGACTACTTGTGATCTTTCTCTCTCTCCGTCAAATAAATAAATAAAATCTTTTAAAAAAGGGGGGATGGTTTGCATACTCTACTGACTGAGCCAGCCAGGTATCCCCGGGTCTTCCTTTTTAATCCAATCTAACAACCTCTACTTTTTTGTTGGAGTATTCAGATCTTTTACATTTAGTGGCCATCTTGTTATTTGTTTTATTTTTGTCCCATCTATTCTCTGTTTCTTTTTCCTCTTTTTTTTTAACCTTCTTTTGGATTAATTTGATGTTTCTATGGCTTCATTTTATCTCCTTTGCCAACTTATATCTATGTGTAATTCTTTGTTGTGCATTTTAGTGGTTGTTTAAGAGTTTATGGTAAAGAGCTTTAACTTACCACAGTCTACCTTCAGTGATACAAAGCCTCTTCACATATAGTATAAGAACCTTATAACTATACTTCCAGTTTTCCTCTCTTATTTGTGCTTATCATTATACATTTTAGTTTTAAAACCTCACCATATAGTTATTATCTTTGCTTAAATTGTCTTTCAAGGAGCTTTAAATAACAAGGAAAAGATCTTTATTTTCATTTTTATATTTACCCATATTGTTACCATTCCCAGGGTTATTCGTTCCTTTGTATAGATCCAGATTTCTACAGGTATCATTTTTCTTCCGCCAGGACTTCCTTTAACATTTTTTTGTAGTGCAGATCTGTTGATGATTCTTTCGTCTTTTCTATACCTGGAAAAGATTTTTACGTTTTCATTTCTTAAGATTTAAATAATTTTAATTTTTTAAATTGTAGTAAAATACACATAACATAAAATTTACCATCATAACCATTTTTAAGTGTAGAGTTAAATAATGTTATGTCCATTCACATTGTTGTGCAACAGATCTCCAGCACTCTTTTTATCTTGCAAAACTGAAACTCTATAACCATTAAGCAATAGCTCCCCATCCTCTCTCCCACCAGCCCCTGGCAACCAACATTCTACTTTCTGTCTCTATGACTTGACTACTCTAGCTATCTCATGTAAGGGGAATCAAACAACCTTTGTCCTTTTTTGACTGGCTTATTTCACTTAGCATAATTTCCTGAAGGTTCATCCATGTTGTAGCATGGGTCAGAATTTTCTTCCTTTTTAAGGCTGAGTAATATTCCATTGTATGTGTATACCACAGTTTGTTTATCCAGATCTCTTCCCTCCTGAACAGAGCACTCAGCATCTAATGCAGGAATGTCACTAAGACAGAAGCACATAATTGTC